CAGCTTCTTTTTTTTCTTCTTTTCTTTTTTTCTTTTTTTAGATTCAGCGGAACTTGAAAGACCCTTGTGAAGCTGTCAAAGAGGGCAGATTTTTAGGATTTTTTTCCCCTCACCTTTTACAGTTGTCTTGCCCACACCCCATTTGGCAGCAGCCTGTTTTAGCTACCAGCTAAAATTGTTGTCATGAAAACAGCTTTATTTTGTTCTCATGTTTCATCGATTAACACAACGTGTAACCACATGTATTAATTGAAGGAACAAGTATTACTGACAGAAATAGGCTTGAGAAGAAAAACAACTGACCCTTGGGAAGGGTGCCCTCCACTGCTGGGAACAGACGCTTGTGGGCGGTGAGGGCCGGCCCTGCCCGCCAGGAGGAGCAGCCCGGGCGTCAGGCAGTGCTGTACCAGGGGCGGGGTGGCATCAGCTAATCCGACTCCACATGGGGGTCTGGAGTAGCCTGGGGGTGTGCAGGCGGGAACACAGGGGAGTTGATGAAAGATGGTCACAGACCTATGAGGGGAACTAGGGAAAAGTAGCGTGTTTAGAACCTCTTTTTTTTTTTTTTTGGTGTGGGAGGGAGGTAATTAGGTTTATTCATTTGGGGACTGCACCCAGGACCTCTTGCATGCTAAGCATGCACTCTACCACTTTGAGCTATACCCTCCCCCTAAAACCTCTTTCTGTACCTAGCTCCATTGGTGTCTGTCTCGTCTCCCAGGCTGATCTGAGGTCAGGGATGGCCTGCTGTGCGCTGCTGTATCTTCCCTTTCCAGTCCATTACCGGCCTTTGGGAAACCTCTTGTAACAATCTTGGAATGAGTGAAAGTGTGTGTGTTTTCCACGGGGCTGTTGACAAAGAGTGGGCCACCCTGGTGCACAGAGACTCTCTCCCCTGAAAATCATGGGTTGGCAGACTGTGGGCCACCTGATCTCGTGTGTTCTGTGTCCCACCCTCCCCCCCAGTGACAGCAAGTGTGGGAACTAACGTCATCGTTCAGCTCACGTTTCATGTCAGCTGCCCACATCTAGGCCAGCATTCCAGGGTCTTTCAGATGCATCTGAGCGGGGAATGTGACAGCTCTGGTCTTGGTGGACCCCGATATTGTGACGTGAAAGCAAAGCCACGACTTTTCATGAGTTTTTTCCTTAGTCAAAGCCTTGGTTGGTTCCCACGTGCCCTTCGCACAGTGACTTCTCTCCAACCAACAGAGCACTTAGATCATTAACACTAGGATATTTTAGGTAGAAAATCAAGTCTAATCATCAGAAGAACTGTAATATCACAGTTAATACAATTTGTTCATTCGGTTATTATTTATTGGTTTAGCGATGCCATTTAGTGTCTGTTGGGTGCTTGATCAGACTCCGTTCACTGAGTAAGCAAGTCAGCACCCTCCCCCTTACTCTCTAAGCTCGTGACTGTTGGTCTGCTCTGTGAGAGTAAGCAGGGTGCCAGGTGTCAGCTTGTGCCACCTTTTGTATTTAAGACTCGATCCAGGTTAGCCTCGTCTGCTAGATCCTGGACCGGGAGATAAGCCTGTAATGTGTGTCCCTCTCCGCCCTCTCCTTCGGGCAGCTTGGGGATGAACCACGACGATGACCACTCCTCCTGCGCCGGCAGGTCCCACATCATGTCGGGAGAGTGGGTGAAAGGCCGGAATCCCAGCGACCTCTCCTGGTCCTCCTGCAGTCGAGAGGACCTCGAAAACTTCCTCAAGTAAGTCCTTGAATCAGTCTGTACCATCAGTAGAAAGTTATGCATTACTTCCGAAAGACAGTCATTGGAGTCTTGGCCAGTATGAGCGGGAGTGAACCTCTCAGAAGTCTCAGAGGACCAGACCTCCTCCCAGGTGCACAGCTGGTGTGATGTTGGGTACCCAGCTGGTGACCATAAATGCTTATCGATTGACGTGTCAATGCAGTGACTGTATCTTGAAAGGATTCCATTTCATTTCTCTGCATTATTTTGATGGGGCGTGGATGCCACCTTAGCGGTAACCCTTGGCTTCTGGAGAACAGGGCACTTCCTCTGTGCTCAGTCTGCTTCCCTTGATAGGAGTCCATTTGCTGGGGAAGAGGGCTTGCTTGCTCACTTCCTTCATTTGTGGGGCTCAGGTGGGTTTATCTGACTGCCACTTACTTGCCAGAATATGCTGGCATCACTTCATTCCCAGATGTCTGTGCAAGAGTTCGCCATCTGATTTCAGACCTTTGTCCAGCAGAGTCTGTGCTCACATACAGTGTGGGTTCCTTAGTGTAAAGACCTCAGGGCTGGACTTACAGATTTGATAGGGTCAGACCCCCATTGCTTCACAACTTACTGGTATCATCTGTACGCCCCATGGAGATGGAAGGGGGTCAGTGAGTCCCACCTACAGATGGAGCTTTGTAGTTCAGTAACACAGTAAAGTGTCGGGTGAATTCAGAAGGAGGAGCAAAGGCATCACACCGGCTTCTGTCCTCATCCTGGATGTTCTTTCATGATGTTTCCTGTGGATGGGGAAATTAAGTGGTACACGGGGCTTAAGAACAGACTCACTGGATTTAACGTAGTCTATTTCCTACTGAGTACTTGTTATCACCGAGTCTAAATTAAATGTTGGAAGCCACCTGACATGATTTCATTTTACCCATAAGGGTCAGTAAATCAAGGCAGGGTATTTTCATTGGCTCACGAACACAGTGCTGGACCCACTGCCTTCGTTAAAGTGGCCCGTGTGTCTGAGCCCAGGGGAGGTGAACCAGCGTCAACCTGCATGTTCTTGCGGGCGTGCAACTCTTTTCTTCAAGAATCTTGGCATGAGGCCGGATTTTCTTTTTACTACCCTCTGCCTTGTTTTAGGATTGAAAAATAAAAACATTCAAGTACTTAACCTCTTCACAGAGCTGCAGCCTCACAACCCCCAGTTCGGTTTTTCAGAGCTGTTTTCAGCATCTCTGAACATTTCCATCCTGGTTGAAATCCTGAGGTCCTTTGCAGGATGTGCTACCAGCCAGCTTTCCTGGCCGGAGGGAGGTGCAGTCAGGGGGCCACCTGGACCAGCCAGCGGCCACGGCCTGACAGGCCCTCCAAGAGAATCCACAGAATTGGAAATAAGCACTTTTATTTAAAATAGGGCAAATCATCCCTAATCATATTTTTTTCTTTATTCATAGTGACTTTTGCCAAAGCCATATTCTAAGAAAATATCATAGGAATCTATTTCTATGAAATTGAATGAAAATGCCTTTCAAGAAGGCTCTCAGACTCCCCGAGAAGAGTACATGAGCCACGTGGGTATTACTCCCAGGCCCTTTCCTGGTTGTCCAGCTCGCGTGGCCTTCGGAGTAAAGCTCTGTGTTCAGCTGTGTAGAAAAAGAGCGAAAAGTGCCACCCATGTGTCCGGTACCTAGGTCATCTCCCCGTAAATAATTTGGAGCGTCCTCCTCCTGGCAAATCAGAACAAAAACCTGGGCAGTACGTTTGCAGGCCAACTTGCCTCTTGGCTGTTTCAGGTCGAAAGTCAGCACCTGTTTGCTGGTCACGGACCCCCGGAGCCAGCACGCGGTGCGCCTCCCGCACAAGCTGCCGGGCATGCACTACAGTGCCAACGAGCAGTGCCAGATCTTGTTCGGCACCAACGCCACCTTCTGCAGAAACATGGAGGTAAGCGGGATGGGGAGGGCCGGCTCAGGTCGGAGCATCTGGCTTCTGTTTGAGGATGCATGCATGCACGCACACACACACCCCTACATACACAGACGTGTGTTTGCACACGCATGCACAGACATGGACATGCATGTACACATACTTCGTGGGCATCTGCATGGGGCACCCGGAGAGAGCCCCCCCCACACACACACACGCACGCACACGCGAAGTTGCATGCACACACACACGCACACCCCCATACGTAGGCAGTTTTGCAGGGGGATGGGTCAGAGTTACTACTGACACCAATAGTCTAATGTTTTGTTTTGTTTTTTAATCCAAAGGTATTTCTTTCTTTCTTGGTAGCCAAATGTCTTAACCTGAAAACTTTGAGACATTAGGGGTAAGAAAATTAACCCATCCTTCGTGGAGGTGATGTGATGTGATGGAGGTGATATCACACCTTGCACAGATGGCTAAGATGGCTAAAAGTTGCTAACACTGGAGAGTGTCATATGGAGAACTTCAAACAGATAATAAAGTGATTGTATGATAATAGTGCTAATAACACCATTAAAATGTTACCCTTTACTGAGCAGTGCCCACAGGTTGTGCCCTAAAGCTTCCAAGGTGCCTGATCTTAATTACCCATCACCACACTCGCTAGGTTATTCTCCCCAGGGCCCAGGTGACAACCCCAAACTCAGAGATTAAGTGATCATTTGAAACAGCTTGGTCAGTAGGTGGTAGAGGAAGGAGTTGACTCAAGTCTGTTCACCTCCAGAGCGTGCGCTTTCTCACCGTGCTGCAGACGGCTCGGCCGGCCACCTCTGCATGCAGGGGTGCCAAAGGGACATGCTCGGACCTGGGGCAGGGCAGTCTCCAGGCTGTGGCCCCAGGGGAAGGCTGGAGCAGCCTACGGTCCGGTGGGCTCAGAGAGAGGAGCAGAGCCTCGGCCCTTGGGCAGAAGGACAGAAGCAGGAGAAGCAGCTGGGGATGTGTGGGACTCAGGAACCACCCAGCAACAGCCAAGTGCTGGAGCTCAGGATAGCATTGAGTCCCAGGGAGGAGTCTGGAGGGCTAGGTGGGTTCCCAGAGCAAGAACTCAGGACGGGAGCAACTCCAAGACAGGCAGGTAGACCAGGACTGCGCCTTCAGGAGACCCAGGGATCTGGGCCAGCAGAACAGGTCAGCCTGGACTCTGGGGGTGGGACGCTCCCTTTTGAGTAATTCCTGGCTGTGTGTGAGCTGGTTCAGGACATCAAGGTGGAGTCAGCAGGTGGGGCACACCTGCCACTGTTTGGGGTGGAGAAAAGGACGGTGCCTCACAAGCAGCCTAGCACCTCCTGCTAGCTGTTTCCTCAAAGAGCATTTATCCACAGGGCTGTCCTGAATCTTCCTCTCCCATTCCCCTGCGGAGGTGCCAGCAAGGGCCCCTTCCAGGCCTTGGTAACAGCAGCCATCTCTCACTTCACACCCAGCAGCAGCAGGGTTGAAGAACGCCTCCCTGGGTAGAGGGGATGAGCCCCAGGGTCCGATGATCCCCAGTGGTCTGCCACGATGCCCGGTGCTCCCCTTCAGTCTTGACTATTAAGACTTGACCACTGAGGCTCTCATTTCTGTACCATATGGTAGCGTAGAGGCGTCCTATTTGCCTATCCCAGTCTTCAGTCCCTTAAAGTGGGTGATAGCCCCGAACTACTGGAGAGGGCAGGTTTCAGAGGGTCCTTGGATGGTGTGGTGACAGCAAGAGATCCATGTGGATGGTACCCGAGAGGAGGATGCTGAGTGTTCGGGACGAGCAGAAGGGCCCTGGGCACCCAGGGTGGAGAAGAGGGAAGCACCCGGCTGAGTCAGTGGACACAGCTGGACAGAGGCTGCCTCCCCCAGGCACTGCAGCCGTTTTGCCTTTCAGGAGCCAGGCCGTTGCACACCTGAGGAGGGATGGACAGAGTGGGGATACAGGTACTGCGGGCTCCTGATCCCCCAGGCTAAACTCTTTCCACGCACTGTCACATGAAACCCTGACTGCAATCCTCGAGGGCAGGGGCTTTGAACCCCACTTAACAGATGAAAAAATGGAGGCTGAGAGAGGCTGGGTCGTGGGCCAATATCGCTCAGCCAGAAAGAGAAGGGCTGGAGACTAAGCCCTGGGGTGACTGTTAGGGAGGAAGGGCAGGCTCTGGTCATTCAGGGACAGACTCCAAAGAGGAGGAAGGGGACCTGATATTTTATTTTCCTTCCTTAGCATCTTTTTGTTTGACGAGGACCACGAGAGAGCAGTCAGTCATGGTCAGCTCAACAGTGTTGCTCCTTTCTCCCCGGAAGCTCAAAATACAAATACATAAAGTGGAGTCTTTTTGTTTTGTAAATTACGGTGCAGCTGAATGTTGATTCCTCCAGCTCACCAGGAGCCACAAAATATGCTTTCCTGTTTGCCTTTTCCTTGAGAGTTCTGCCAGTACTAAAGCAGAGCTGGCATCTTCCTCCCCAAATCCTAGCAGGAGTGACTCCTTAGGGGAGGAAGGAGCGCACACGGTTGCTTTCTTCTCCCCTGTGACACTGACTCTCTGGTGCTGGTCTGAGCCTCCTCCCCTTCCTCCTGGTCTTCCTCCTGGTCCTCCTCCTCTTGTTCACTCCCTTTCGCCCACTCTGTTCCAGTTCTCCTTGTCTTCCTGCTCTCTCTTGGATCCACAAGGCGAGCTCCTGGCAGGGACACACTCTGCTTCCTACTGGCTGTTTTCTTTATCTAAACACTCTTTCCTCAGCTTGTCCATGTGACTAAGTCCCTCATCTTTTTTGAGTTTTTTGGGGTTCCTTTTCTTTTTCAGATGTGACCTTCTCAAGAAAGCCTATCCTGACCACCCTATTTAAAATTTGAATCTGGTAACCCTCCCCCATCCACCCTTGAGGCACCCAGATCGCCTGATCCCCTAAGGGAAAACCCTGCTTTCATAAACTTACCATCTTTTAACATGCTCTAGAATTCACTTGTTTACATGACTGTTGCTTTGATAATCTCCCTATTCTAGGTTATAAACCCTCAAGGGCAGGAATCCTGGCTTCTGCTCACCAATATTTTCTAGCTGCCTTGGCCAGTGCCTGGCACATAGTAGGTGCTCAACAAGTTATGTGTTGCTCTGAGGTCCATTCGTGACCCTAAGAGCAAACTGAAGTTCTTATGTGACTTAACCCAACTGCTGATGACACTGTAGACAAGCTCACAGTCTTTGAAGCAACCCTTACAGCTCTCCACATATCACGTACTGATTCTCGAAGCCCAAGTTCACATTTCTCCACCCAGTTCACCCACACACATGTGAGACTCTGTCAAATGTCTTGCAAGAGTTCATACAAACCTTTCCTGTGGCTTCCTCTCAGGACAGCACAATGAGTCTGGTCGTGGGGGACTGCAGGCTGCTTCCTAGTGGCCATCTCTCTCCCTCCATCCCTCCCTCCCTCCCTCTCTGTGCCTTAGTGCCCTCATTCGTAAAATCTTAGACTCCTGGTGAGTTAATACACATAAGGTGCTAAGAACTGGATCTGTCACAAAGTAAGCACCCAGTCATTTGAGCTGATATGTGTGTTGTTATTACCTTGCTGGATAACACTGGCTCCCATCTGTGGGGCCACAGAACGAGTCTGTCTGTGTCCACTTCTAGGATCGGCAATGTTCTATACTGAATTCCTCAGGGCCCTGAAAAATTAAGCTTTGTGTAAAATACGTACCCTTCAGGTAACCAGAGACATCTGGAACCAACCAGGAAGCTCCTGTAATCCAGTGCCAAATGGATCTTTATAACTGTTACTATTCTTTAATGCCCTTGAGGAGTGAAGTGGCTGTCATGTAATGAAATGATCATGGTTCCAACATTGCCTTTAAATTTCTTATCCCAACATCTGTCTTTGGCCAAGATGGAGTAACAGGGACCGGAATTACCTTCCCACCTGAAGCAACTAAGAAATAAGATGAAGTATATGGCACTGATTTTAGGACAGTGACGATCAAGTCAGGAAGGACTGTGGTCCTTGGGAGATGTGAACCAATGAGGTCTCTGATTGTCCTGCCTGGGCGGGCTCCAGGCTGTGACACGGGGAGGGCTGTGAAGAAGTAGCAGTCTTCTGGAGTCAAAGCAACAGAGCCAGGTGTACAGGGAGGCTGAGGCAGCTGGAGTTCACTGGACAGAGTGACACAGAAGAAAGAGCTTTACAAAGAGAGAACCTCAGAAATCAGCACAGGATCTCCATGAGTCTTCAGCTTAGTACCAAGAAACGCATGTGTGCGAGGAAACCACCCAAGGCCAGGAAGAGAACCATCTGAAACAGTCACTGGGCTCACGTGAGCATCAGCTGGAGGACATGGAAGGGAGTTGTGTCAATCGCATGGCAAAACTAGCCCCACACTAAATGCTGATCTGGTCCCACCCAATAAAGCTGGAAAAGCAAAATCTGAAAGGATGAAACTGTTTCCAAGTTACTTAGCCACAGCTCAGAAAGAGTTACGGAAATGCAAAACCAGCACTGAATAAAGTAAAATTCACAATGTCTAGTATCAAATCAAAAATTACCAGGCCTTCAAAGGAGCAGGAAAATGCATCCGTAATGAGGAGAAAAGTCAATCAAAACTGACCTAGGAATGAGAGAGATGACAGAATTAGTGGACAAAGGTGTTAAAACAGTCATTGTGACCATATTCCAGGTTCAAGAAGGTACAGAAAGACAGACGGGACATGTTAAGGAGAGACAAGAGAGATACAAAGAGAAACTAATGGGACTTCCAGGAATGAAGACTGCAGTGTCTGACATGCAAGATACCCTGCGTGAGGCTGCTGGCAAAGGAGAGCTTGCAGGAGGGATGATTGCTGAAGACAGGCAATGGGAACTAGCCGAAGTGAAACACAAGGAGCAAAGACTGAAAGCAAACCGAACTGTAGGACTTCAGGTGACCTCAGATGTACGTGATTCATGCCCCAAAGGAGGTGAGAGAGGACTGAAATCATATTTGAAAAAATAAT